CTGAGCAAATCAGTCCGATCAACATTACGTGGATGTCCACCACAGCCCTGAGAAAACACGTCCAATCAGCAACTTCTATTACCCATCACTCTCTGCAATACTGTACATGTCACTCTGTTGGTCATTTCGGTAGGTCTTATCATAATTAAGTGTTGTTACAGAGCTTCCTGAATGAATACCCAACAAGTCCTTACGACACAGACTTCATGACATGAGTAATCTCTACCATGCAGATAACATAAGATCTACTGGCTAATTTACTTCCTCATTTGTTCTGGTGCTGCAGGTTTTTTTGTATTATTGTGTCACTTTCAACCTGCCCAATCATTCTTTTTTTTTTTTACTTTTGTTTTTAATATAAAAAATAGGAAATAATTTGTTATGTATTTTATGTGACAAATGTGATCATATTTTATATAACTGTGGGCCACATGTCTGTTTGTTCAGACTGACATGCATTGCAAAAGAGATAATGTTAGGAATATATTGTAGAGGGAAGTAGAGATGTGACACCACATATTCTGTACTGTATTTGACTTTATGGTAACATAATGTGATTATCTTTGTTGATACTATTAAATATATGCTAAAGGTTTCTGAGTCTGAATAATCTATAAAGTCTATAGGTGTAATGATTACACTCTTAAAATTGATAGAGATGGTCTTTATTGATCTACTTACTACTTACTAATCCTGATGTTAAAGTGTCCCAAAGACCATTTAAATTTCTATAAAATATATCAAAAAGCTATCAAGGTGAAACTTCATGATTATCTAAACGGAACCATAACTAACTAAAAAAAGTCTTGATAACAAAACGTTCTACATCACTTATGTTTGTGTTCTCAAAGACCCTAGATATAAAACATAAAAGTAATGCTGGAAGAGAGGATCTAAATGTATTTTTAATACCGTTATAAGTTGTGATGCAGAGAATACTGGTAGTCCAAGCCTCTACTCGATTCAGTTGAGAACTGTTTATGAACACTATTTATTCATATCACACATTTAAGCTAAACATTCATAACTTATGGTGTACACTATACAGACCCCATGCTCACGGCGTCCAGAACACCAATATTCAGTCTGGACATCTGAGATTTTGGTATGGAGAAAAACTTTTTTGATTTCTTTTATTGTATTGTTTTTTGTGCATGTGTTTTTGCTGGGGTCAAATTTACCTCAAACAGAAATAATGTTTTTCAGAACTAAAGATGTATGAAATGAAAAGAGGTTAATTAGTTTTACATATACATCATAACACGAGGGTTTAACTTAAAGTTAAAACATAAAAAAAAACACAGTTGCTGACATGGAGATAACAGAACAACGTGCCCTCTGTGACTTCACACATCTGTGATGCCTCAACGTTAGAGCGAGGAGCTCTAACCACAAAAGCACAACATCACGTTGCTGGAAGATGCTGGTGCAACTAATGACGGTTTGTGGTTAATCACCTTTATGCTAGATACTTTATAGCTTCTTAAAATTGGTACACCTTATTTCTCTCCTGTCTTTTGCTCCTCATTCATTTCTAAAATCCATTAATGTTCACTATTTAACAACTGATTTTTAGCTCTATTTGGCACATTTTTGTGTTCTGCTTTGTACTCTGGGCTGTTGTTACATGTTGTTACTCTGCAGCTCTGAGCATATGAGAACTTTTCTGGTCAAACTTGTTGAAAGACAATGGTACATTAATTCTAAAATCCATTAATGTTCACTATTTAACAACTGATTTTTAAAAAGTCAGCTCTATTTGGCACATTTTTGTGTTCTGCTTTGTACTCTGGGCTGTTGTTACATGTTGTTACTCTGCAGCTCTGAGCATATGAGAACTTTTCTGGTCAAACTTGTTGAAAGACAATGGTACATTAATTCCTTGAAATAAATACAATATGAAACCATTTCTACTTTCACTTCCTCCATTTTCTCTTGTTTATATGTATATATCAGTCAGTGTGACCCAGATCTGACTGCAAAGAACAGAGGTACATGATGTCTCATTAAGCTGCATATCTGCATACCAGTTCTAAGTGTCTTAAATGTTAATTTAATGGCTAAATGAAAAATAAACGTATATATTTGTAGAAGCAATAACTTGAAGTGATCATTTTCTGTATGACTTTATCAGTCTTTCACATCGTTCTGAAGGAATTTTGGCCCAATCTACTTTACAGTGTTGCTCCAGTTTATTGAGGTTTGTGCACATTGTTTATGCACAACTTTCACCACAGCATTTCAGTCAGGATGAGGTCTGAACTTTGACAGGGTTTGCAACACCTGGTTTCTTTCTTTTTCAGCTGTTCTGTTGTAGATTTACTGGTGTGCTTGGGATCATTGTCTTGTTGTATGACCCAATCTTGGCCACGCTTTAGCTGTTGGATGGTTGGCCTCACATCTGACTCTAGAATACTTTGGTATCCAGAGGAGTTCATGGTCGATTCAATGACTGAGAGGTGCCCAGATCCTGTGGCTTAAAAAATAAGTCCCAAATCATCAGCACTCCACCAGCATGTTTGACTTTTGTTATGAGGTGTTTGTGCTGACATGCTCTTTAGGTTTTCACCAAATGTGGCGCTGTGCATTATGACCAAACAACCCCACTTTGGTCTTGTCTATTCAAAGGTCTTATGGTTTGTTCAGATGCAACTTTGCAAACCTAAACCGTGCTGCCATTTTTTTTTTAAGATAGAAGAGGCTTTCTTCTGGCAAGCCCTCCAAACATGCCATACTGGTCCCATATTTTTCTAATTGTACTGTTATGACTCATGAACTTTATCATTTAACATGTTATAGATAAAATCTATATGACCACCTGTTATATTATTTCTTTATTTCTCAGTCTCTTTGCACGGCTGTGGAAGGAGTAAGAAACACAGATGGAATCTCTGTCTGCAAAGAGTTTATTGTTTACCTTCAGAGTTTATTGTCCAAGCTTGTCCAGCTTTTATAACCAAATCTCAGCTTAAAATACAATATATAAGCTTTTATGTTTTCAAAGGATGGTGTAATGATCATCCAATGAGAATATACATTACATCCTATATAAATGTAATACCAAAACAAAGCTTTATATGGTAAAGAACAGATGTCCTGGAAACAGATATCCTCATCTGGATAATTCTAAATTTCCTTTTCTAGGCTGGTTTCCAAGAGTAATAAATGCATGAATTATATGCATAAATGCAAAAATGCATAAAATAATAACAATACAATACAGCAAGCTTGTTTAATATTGAAAGTAAACCTAAGAGAAAAAATACAATAATACAATTATTTTTTATGATACAACTCCATTAAAGGTGATTGTGTCGCATAATTAACCTCTGTCTTACAGTCCTTTATCATAAATACTAAATTTTCTGGCACTTCCAAGAGCGTGCAATACATTAGACATACAGAAGATTGCACAAAAAACTGCTGAGGAGAACCAAACAATGAGTTGCCTTCGAAGAAAATATCTCTTACCTTCATAGACTCAATTGCATAGTCCATATCAGTTGCATAATACACACCAATCCTGTGACAACTATAATTTATTGCAGTTTTTTAGGAAAAGCAATTAATGTAGTGTTTCATGACCCTTTAAGACTGAATGTGTGAATCAAATATAAAATAAAACAAAGCATTGTCTTTGACATTATTTAAACATACTTTAATTCTTATTAAAGCAACATAATGCATAATATTGACATACATCTGATTTCTTTTTCTATTGCATTTAACTCCTTTTAACATCAAGCAGTTTCCATGCTGTATTTTCTCATATTTTTATAACTTAAACCCAACAAAAAAATGAGGCATTCCTTCTTTTGCGGCCATATTTACATTTACAGACCTTGAGTGTGCTGCGCTCAAGAAGAAATTTGCCTACAAATTCCTCTGTGATATGTTTTATAAGCTAATAATAATACGTCTGTCTTTCCATTTTGCCCAGAATGCTGCCAGATGATTTGTGTTTGTCTGGAGCCTGATCCACAACAGAGACTTAATCAGGAGAAGATGCATCTCCATGAATGGCTTAAGGTACTGAATCTAAGATTAACCAAATGGGGTTTTTTTGGGGGGGGGGGGTGAAAAGCTAAATTTCTCCAAATCTGTTTCAATGAAGAAACAAACTGGCCTGAGGGTGAGTACATTTTCAGCAAATTTTTCATTTTTGAGTGAACTAAGAACACAAGGGTGTCTTCTATGTCAAGAACTTGTATCAAACACCTTAGCTTTACTGCAATTACCTGTCCCACGTTCAATATCTTTCCTAAATGTAATGAACATCTATTTAAGAATTAGTTAAGTTTGGCATTCTAGTTTCTCATCAATGCATCTACTCCTCCAAAGACAAATGGGCACACAGACTAATCTCTTTATGGAAATCCACCCACTCCTTCCAGAACATAAATCAACCAGGATCCGCTCTGTTCTCTACAAAGCTATAAATATAAGGAAGGTTTTGTATTTCACTAGGGTGGAGCATGCTGGAATATTCATCAATCTCCCCCTTTTGTGGGTGTGTCCTTTTGACAAATTAAAAGCATTGGAAATGTTAATACCAACTCCTTAGATCACAACTGGTGTTTGTAAAAAAAATTTTTAGAATATCCAGTGCATGTAAATGGTTTTTTTTATTTTTTTAAAATGTCTTCTAAAGTAACGTTTTAAAAAAAAGAATCCTACAACTACAGCATTTTTCTATTTAAATTGTTACAGGCCACAAATACTTTGACTTTCAAGCTGACATGAGAAGTATTAAGTTTGTCCTAAAGCACTTCCCTAACTTAAATATATTTACAAATTAAAAACACACACGAAAAGTTCAAAACAATACGTGAAAGAATTCAACTGAAACCAAAACGAAATCATCTGTGACCTGAAAACTGGTACCGACATCGCCAAAAGTACCTGTATCTCACGTTGCGGTACCCGCTTTGTTTAGTCAGAAGGACACGCCCACTATATGACGACCTAATGAATATTCCATAAGGCCCCGCCCCACGCAACAGAAAAGTTTTATGACCTGCATATTCAACGGCTTACCGTTAGATCCACGAATCCCACATACAATTACATGCGTAACGCGTCGACTTTCTCGCGAGGCATATCAAGATACACTTCGTCTGCTGTCAAGTTACACCTCTGTTTACATTAATTCATTTTCAAGAAACAGATGTTTGCCGCTGACCAAACAGGGCGTCCGGCGTCGCCTCATCCGGATTTAGAGAGAACTGTTTGCGGATGCTGCGCTGTTTGCAAAGTACACCTAAACTCTTCTGCAGACCCCAGACTTCTGCCTTGCCTGCATATAGTTTGTAATACTTGCCTTACGAAGATCTGCACAGATGGAGCCACCCAAGGTGAGAACTCGCTTGTACTGTTCAGTTTGACTAGTGGTTTTAATGGGGCGCTCTAAAGTCCATCTGCACGTGACATTTTTAAAATCGCGTCGAAATAATCTCACGCAGGTTTAATCGACTGTGTACTAGTGCGATTATTTATAAAATTGGTCTTACCAAGTTAATGTCCGTGGTCCATGGCTAGGTTGTGTTTTCCATTAGGGACCCGATGAACAGTTACAATTGGCCCCGATATATAACGTTTTTCTTATTCACATACTAAATATACATATACTATGTATATACTTTTTAAAAATAATATTTTAGTGAAATTTGTAACATTTAATTACTTTTTATGAACGCAAAGTAATGATGCTGATCTAAAATCCCCTGAAATCGCAGTTTACTGACATATTTCCTATCGGTACAGGATGCTTCGACTAGAAATATCGAAAGGCTCGACATTTATTTTATGTACGTTTTTTTAATGGCCACTGTACTGCATGTGAAAAATAGAAACGCTGCTTTCTTTAATGTCATGACAAAATTAGTGTCATGTTTACAATTACATATGGAATATATTACTTGCTTTCAATAAAACCAAATGCAAGTGCATTTCTTTTTGATTATATTTTACTAATAAGTTTTTTTTTTGTCATTTTGCATGTTAAATATAATTTACATTGATATTAAGTAATACCACAGTTCATCCCTGAAGAAACCTGCATTTTTCAATAAAATGTCATTTGTTCAAATCAGTTCATTTTGTTGATAAAACTGTCAAGCAAACAAGGTGTATAAATTCTGCTACTCTAATAATTCATTACACTTTAATAAATGACTTGTGGTTTCGTCAAGGCTTTCTAATCAACAGCAACATGAGTAGTTAGAATTTAATGACATAGCCCCTTCATTTTGTAGAAGTGTTTCATTTAAGTGTGTCTGAGACTTTTGTTTCTTTCTTCATCTAGATTGTCCATTATGTGCACATTCCTTTTGTTTGTCTGAGGTTACAGAATGTGCCATTTTCGAAGACGCATCTAAAAATAACAAGGTCCCCAAGGTAAGTGTGCACAGAATATGGAGAAAGTTTCAAGTAAAATGGTACATTCATTCTGTCCCTAATCTTTTTGCAGAGGATGTTGGCAAATCATATAAAGAGCCATTCACACAAAGAATGATAAATATAAAGATAACTATTACAGTAACTGTATTAGCATCTACACCAGGAATGCATGTTAATGTTCTGTTCATTATAAGCACGTGCTGCCGCTTTAACTGCCCAAGCTCTTTAAGGTCAAGTTGATTCTGATTGGCTGTCAATGTTTTCAAGATTCATCAGCTGGGGAAAAAAACAGTTTGATAGTGATTGCAACAATATTGTTCCTCTTTGTTATCCTTTTTTCACAGAATTTGAATGTTTTTTAAAACTTCGTAGTTATCGACCTTGGTGTGAAGGCCCTTAAACTGGTCCAAAGAATTCCAGCACTGACATAAAGGAGGCATTTCCTCTCTGTCTTTCATTGTAAATCTTAATTCAAAATGTTGAATCAATCTTTTCAGTGTGCCGGGTGTGAAGAGAGTGAGGTTAGTGGATGGTGTGTCCAGTGCGAGGAGGCCCTGTGTTTGGACTGTACGTCTGCTCATCGTAGAGTAAAAGTGACCCGTGACCATGAAGTCACACCCAAAAAACCACCCACAGGTTAGAGTCCTTAAGCACTTCACACTAACACTTCACCTGTATAATTGAAGTCAGACCAATTAGTTATCAAATCAAATTTATTTGTTTGAAATCATGATCCTGGGTAGTTTCTCTTACAACTAAAACATACCTTAGAGAGCTACAAAATAATTCAGCAAAATCATAAAAATGCATTTATCATTGAACAGAGGCTTTCAAAGTAGATCGGATTGTATCAAAATAAACTTTATCATAAAGCCTCCTACGTCATTTTAGCATATATGTACACTTTCTGGTTGTTCTCCATCCAATTTGGTCTTCCTCAACATCCCATAATATGATCACCTGACATATGTACATATTTTTAATTGCAACATTTTATTTGACTCCCTAGTCTCTTCACAGGTTTACAGACCTCGACTACAGAAAGAGGCATTATATTATTATTATTATTTTATTTTATTTTTTTACAGAATATGTCGATTAAATTTGTAACATCAGAGGGAGACGGAAAGAAAAATAATAAAATGGGCTATATATATATATATATATATATATATGAATCTTCTACCAAGAGTGTGACAGGAAGAGGGGGCCAGCAGTCAGAAGTTTTCTGAGGCTTTGTATTGAGTGCGTCAGATAACTTCCAGCATCTCCATGCTTATCAGTCAAACTCTAACCCTTTTGTATGCCATAACCTCCCCTGGACAGCAGCCTGCTTGAAACCTTCAGTTTGTCACCTTACATTTTTAAGCAGTTGACATTCTATAGTAGCTGTTCCTTTTGTCCTCCTTTCCTAATCCCTTTGTTAAAAACATTATCTATTAATAAAGTTAGAAAATTAGTTTTGAGTACATACAATAAAAATACTTTATGTATATATGTTAAAAAAAACTATATCGTTCATGATTTAAAAGTTATGCAAGGAAATCTCTGTAACTCATGTAAGATTAAAGGGGTCATGTAACGTTGCTAAAAAAGAACATTATTTGGTGTAATGAATTGTGTTTATGCTTTTTAAAGTTAAAAACTTGGAATTGTTATTTTCCACATACTGTACATTATTGTTTCTCCTCTATGCCCCGCCTTTCTGAAACGCGTCGATTTTTACAAAGCTCATCGTTCTGAAAAGTGTGGTGCGCTCTGATTGGCCAGCTATCCAGGGCGTTGTGATTGGCCGAATACCTCAAGTGTGTGATGGAAATGTTATGCCCCTACCATATTATGATGCCATGTCCCGGTGAGACGAGGCAAAAACATTAAAACCCATTATAAACGAGGCATTTGTTGCATCCAGTGGGTACATAATTACTGATTATAACGACTTATACTGTCTTTTTACACGTTGCATTGCGTATCGCGCCACGTAAACATTAAACCATTTGTCTGCATTTGTGATTGGAGAAACGACAAACAACAAGCGCTACTCTACACTGCTCAAAACTCCCGTTTGAATCATCAGAGGCAAATTCTTTAAATATGAAAACATACTTACAGGTCAGAACGGACGGCATTGTAGGCTACTCTCCCAGGTTCAGGAAACAGTCATCCGTAAAATGCGTTGCACACACACGAATATTTGGTTTGAACTGTTCTGGAACAGTGTTGTAAATACAACTTAACCACTGATTTCTAGTCGTGTCCTCTTTTGGAAGGCCAAACAAAGTAGTTTAGTTTTCACAATGAAACACACAGCGTCTCCACGACATGGCGGTGGCGGCAACAATACTACAACCAGAATCAAAGTTACACTTCTTTCTTTGCGTGAACATTTGGGAGGTGTTATGCAAATCTTCCCACACAGTGACGTAGATATGTGGGGGCGTGTTTAAACGAGGCATTTTAGGAGGGCGTGGACGAGTCTTAACTTTTATAAAGAATATCTCTTTGGGTTTGAGACTAGTCTTTGCAACTTTAGGGATCTTATCTATTCACGAACAGCTTATAACACTCCAAAGAGAAAGGAAAACTTGAAATCGCATCATATGATCCCTTTAACACAGTTAATCATGCATAAGCAGTGGCATTGATTGAACATATTTTCTCACACTATAAACTGCTGTGCATTATTAGATCTGGGCCCATATTCTTAAAGATTCTAAGAATCCTCTCAGAGAGACCCTAATTTAGCTTAAAATTTTCTAACTAGGAGTCTTAGTTTAAAAGTGATTCACGGCCAATCTGAGAGCAACTCTGAGCGAGTAAAAAACTAAAACTTTTATCTTAGTGAGGAGGCGGGGTTGACCCCTTGCTAGCTATGACACAGTCTTTTGAAGACTGTGATTGGTTGTTTGTCCAAGAAGGAAATAAAAGGGCGCTTTTAAGAGTAGGGTCTATTATAAGACTTCATTTTGAAATTACAGGCGTAATTTTTCCTGTTTTACCATACTCTCTCTCTCTCTCTCTCTCTCTCACACACACACACACACACACACACACACTATATATGTATATATATATATTCTTTATTTTTTATTTACCATGCTGTCATACTTAACGTATTTTATAGGAAATGAACGGCGACACAATTAGGTTCTGAAAGTGCTGCAATTGTTTGTGTGATCACTTTGCTTATAGAAGGTTGTGACAGACCCAAATCATCACTGCTGCAGAGTTGTATTTTTCCAGTTGCCAAATATGTTAATGTATTTAATGTAGTGATTTACTGGAGCTATGGCATTTCTGTGAGGTGTCAGAGATGTTAGTGTGTCTCTAATAAGATCGGTCACAAACATGATCCCTGCACCATCTAATGTGTAGCGTCTTGTTAACTCACTGTCATGCATTGTTGTGCAACACATTTCTTCTCCCTCTTCATGTTTCGTCCATTTTCTCCACTGCTAAAGAAACTCTCAAGCCTCTTAAAAGTCCCAGTCCATACTCCTAACAATTTTGGATCTTAAGACCTTTTTTACTTTTTTCTTTACTAGAATCTTTTCTTTAATTTTAAGAGGAAACACCCACATTTCTAAGAATTTTCTTAGAATTTTGTTACTAGGAGCAACGAATATGGGCCCTGTTCTGCTGTTTGTTTTGTTCAGGTTGGATACAGAGAAGACGCTGTCCCTCACACACTCAGGAGAGCTTGAGGTTCTTCTGTCTCGTTTGTGAAGAGCTCACCTGTAAGGACTGTCAACTGATCTCTCATAGGGGGCACAGGTATAGTCCATATTTACCCAAGCATAGCAGTACATGTGAAGATTAAAACTATATAGTTTTTTTTTGCGTTTTGGGTAATTATTTCCCATCTATTTGCTTTGTGATATTGGGGGGAGTCAGAGCAAAAGAATGCGTCAGTTTCTTTGACACATATTTTGATATTCCTCCCCAACAATACATTATCACAGTCTCTATATCCATGTTTTTCCATGTCCATCTCTGTATCAGTTTTGTGAAGCAGGAGGAAGCTGTGGGATCTCAAAGGCAGGTGCTGCAGAGTTTGTTGGACTCCATCAGACATCAGAAAGAGACGGTCAGCAGCAGCTTGCTGCACCTAGAGGCAAGGTAACTGAATGAAGCCGTGTAGACTACAGAATGCAAGTTGAAGGAACAGTCTGTCAATTAAAAAAAAAAAAACTGGATATACTCTTAAAAGTCGTTCTCAAAGCTCACATCGTTTCACCCATATTTCTTAAAGGGATAATAAGAATGTTACCGTCATCGAACGGAATGACTTTCTTCTGTTGAACATTAAAGGTCACATATTTTACACCTTTCTGGAGTTTTATTTTAGGTTTTGATGTCCTTAAGAATATATATTTCATATATTTCATATATATCTCAATATATTTTTACAGCTCCTCTCTCAGGAGCTCTGCTGAGAACAGGTTGATTTTGGCTGTCTAATTAATATTCATGAGCCTCTCTTCTGATTGGCCTGTTGTCTTCTGAGTGACGCACGGCCAGGCCAACCACAGGTAACTAGGGTCAGCCGACGTCACAGCGCTAGCTGGAGGCAGCAAAACAAAGGGGAAACTGGAGGCTGCCCATTCAAACCATCGCAGATTCGGCTACATGAGCTTAAAATATAATTTTGTCGTGATGTTGGGTGCCAGAATCGAGGTAATACAGCCTCAAATTAGAAATTTTATCGCATATCTACTGCCACTGCCAGACAAAAAACCGACGACAGCTGTGGTTAAACGCGGTAAAACGAGCAGACTGGACAGAAACGATCGTCAAAAATGCTCGCGTTTGCAGCACACACTTCTTATCAGAAAAGGTTCAATAAAGTATTGTCTTTTGTTGTTATGGGCGCGTCTACAGATTTCTTGCCATATGTCTATGTTTCTATGTAATGTCTGTGTGCATGTGTGTAAAACAACAAACTGACGATTTATATATAATCATTTGTAATTGTATATACATTAGGGTGACCATACGTGCCATTTTCCCAGGACTAAAGTTAACCTTTTCGACGTGTTTCCGTGTTGTCGTTGCTCAGCAATAGCATGGACACGATGTTGTCTGGGGGTTTGGCAAAAAGAGAGTGGAACTGTGGGCGGTGCTCGGGGTGGTGACTGAAGGCGGTGACTGTGTAGTTCTGACGTCAACCTTTTATGGAAGTCACAACGGTTCGTGAAAAATCACAGCTACTTTATGCAGGCTGTGTGCATTTTACTGTGGACTGACTGTTTTGAAACTTATATGGTAGTTAAATAGCCCCTAGACCTCAGTTATTGTGAAAAAAGCCAGGAAATTTCAGTTTTGACAATATGGGACCTTTAATATATATATATATATATATATATATATATATTTGCCTCGATTGCAATCTGGACGCATCAATGTTATTTGGCAAAATTCAGAGGCAGTCTGCAGATTTTGGCCAGTAATTATTGCATAGTGTATGAGTGGCACAGACTTTAGACTATGATTCCATCCAGATAGAGCATATCAAACATATTTTGAGCATGGCTTACAACAAAAAAAGCATCTTCTATTACAAATATATTGTAGTAACTTATCTCCAAAATAAGGATTATCCATTTGTAATGTGACCTTTTAAAGAAACCGTCCCTCCCATAGACGCTGCATTAGAAACACCCTCACATTAGTGTTAACTAGTTTGTTGTAATTTGATGCAAAGGTAATATAATACAAAGAATAGTGTTATTAATGTACATACATTAAAAAAAAAAATACAAATATGAAAAACTTTCGAGGATTTATGACGCTGATGACCGTTAAATGCGTCATCACAATCTTACGAAAAGGGTCCATATAAAGTGTACCGTTTATTCAAAAGGACAGGAACAAATGACTTTACATCCTGATAACAGATGGTCCCTAGAAACATTACTGAAATTGAAGTAAAAAAAACAAACAAAAAAAAAACGTATGTTTTCTCGATAACTTAAAAAACTGTTTTATAGAGACCTGTGGTGGAAATTCATCTGTAAGATTTAGTCAGTCTGAAATACAAGGTATTTATTGAATACAACCATATAGATTCACATATAAAAGTCTTTTACTCAAGCTCATACAGTAAATGTAATGCTATATGCCCATGCACAGGATGTCTCATTTTCTCGCTCTAGTTTGGGCCCTCCCTCCCTTTTTTAATGTTTTTAATTCAACCTTGTGATGTTCTATTTTGGAATATAAGAGATGAAGGAACAATTAATAATACTTAATTAATGAAAATGCAATTAATTCTCCACAACACATTGATTCACATACATGTATATGTTAAAACAATTATTACTAGAACAATTAGTGGTAAATAAATGTTAATATGATCAGTGAATTAATATATTTACAACATGCTAGAAAGTAAAGAAAAAAACTGCCCAAGTCTGCCAAAGAGCAAAAACTGGCTAATCCAGAGAGAAAACACAGAACTCACCTCTAAGGAATGCAAACCTTGGTAAAGAGTGGGTAGAAGGACACCGTATATGCTCGTAAATCAGTAAAAGCCAGATTTTCAGTCACTTGTAAGATATACACACATATCAACTGCTTTTACGAGCCATTTTTTGAGTTACAAATGGAGAGCATCTAAAAAAAAAGGAAAAGATACTCATGGCGTTTCTAAACATCTAATATTAGTGGAATAACATTCAGGTGTGTTTTTCATTTCACAATGCAGTATTATGCTGGGTACACACAAGATCTTCAAAATGTGAGAGACCACAAACATTAGGACAAAAAAATCCTAGATTTAACCGTTTTGCTCCTATAGTGTATGGTGTGCCGCGATGTTCCCCCCACACATCAGGATTTCTGATTCAACATGTTGAATATTTACGATTCGCGATCGGGGCGCCTCCGACGTTCTTTCCGAGCAGATTCAGTCACTCTTAACACACCTCACACCACAGGAAAATCTGATAAGATAATCTTTAGAACCACCAAGATAATCAGGACATTACCTAGGATTGTCGGAAGGGGAGAAATCGGCCCAAAATCAGCCCGATTATCTTATGGTGTGTACCCAGCATTAGATGATGTATTTAAGGCTTGGGCTGGCAAAAGACTATGATTTTATCAAATGTATGGTGACAATGAAATTAAGACTTTTGAGAACATAGTGAAGAAATATGCTTTGTCTTGGTATCTACAAAATATCTACAAATAAGAAGTTATTTAAAAGATGAAAAAAATTGAGATATTCACATATATTGAGAATTACAGCTTTTAAAGGTCCCATATTGTCAAAACTGAAATTTCCTGGCTTTTTTCATGATAACTGAGGGCTATGTAACTACCATATAAGTTTCAAAACAGTCAATCCACAGTGAAATGCACACAGCCTGCATAAAGTAGCTGTGATTTTTCACAAACTGTTGTGACTTCCGAAAAAAGGTAACGTCAGAACTACTCAGTCACCGCCTTCAGTCACTTCCCCGAGCACTGCCCACAGTCCCACTCTCCTTTTGCCAAACCCCCAGACAACATCGCGTCCATGCCATTGCTGAGCAACAACAACACGGAAACATGTTGAGAAAACGGTGTTCAGTCTGGATGTCAGGAACCTACATCATTGCACAGTACGGCTGTGATGGTCGCCGTGACAACCGCGTCAACCGTAGTGCACGTGACGTCACACACTCTATAACAAGCATAATACAAAGTTTTGTATACAAGTGTGATAATAGTAACAGTTGCAAATTGTTTTATTTAGACTATAAGTCTATTTACTGCATTCGGTGTTTGGAAAAAAATTAATAAAACACTTGAATTACCATTCTGAAACATCCTGTTGTAAGCGCGTTTGAGGAGGTGGTTGATTGTCTCCTGTCGTCACCGATTCGGGGTCTGAGTTTGGCTCAAACATGTAAGGCCGGACAACATTTCCCTCAGCAGTGACCATCATAACCGGTGTTTCTATTAACCTTACTTGTGGGTATCACCAATCCACAGCAGGCTACAGCATACATGACCCTAGTTACCTGTGGTTGGCCTGGCCGTGCGTCACTCAGAAAACAACATGCCAATCAGAAGAGAGGCTCATGAATATTAATTAGACGGGCCAAAATCGACCTGTTCTTTGCAGAGTTCCTGAGAGAGGAGCTGTAAAAAATATATTGAGATGGATTTTGGTACTTATACCACAAATATATATTCTTAAGGACATCAAGACTTAAAATAAAACTCCAGAAAGGTGTAAAATATGTGACCTTTAAGTAAAAACAAAATTCTGTAGAAGGCAAGAATCCCCAGTGTTAAAGGACTGGTTAGATTTAGTTTCCTATAGAGATGACAGCATATGAAATTAAGAACAAAAGTGTACTTTCTGAAAATATATGGTCACCTCTAAAAGTACAGATATATATATATATATATGTATATATATATACGTATATACAGTTGTGCTCATAAGTTTACATACCCCTTGCAGAAAGTGCAAAATGTTAATAATTGAAACAAAATAAGAGTGGATATTATTTTTTATTTAGTAATAAGCTATTTCACATAACATGTTTACATTTACTGCACAAGACAAAATAATAACTGAATTTATAAAAATTACCCCTTTCAAAAGTTTACATACCCTTGAATCTTAACACTATGTGTCATTTCCTGGATGATCCACGACTATTTTAATATTTTGTGATAGTTGTTCATGAGTCCCTTGTTGGTCCTGAGCAGTTCAACTGATTGCTGTTCTTCAGAAAATCCTCCAGCTCTTTGGTTTTCCAGCATCTTCTGCATATTTTAACCCTTTCCAACAGTGACTGTATGATTTTGAGATCCATATTTTCACACTGAGGACAACTGAGGGACTCATACACAACTATTACAAAAGGTGGAAACATTTACTGATGCTCAAGAAGGCAACACAATGCATTAAGAGCCATGTATGTAAACTTTTGAACAGGATGATGATGTGTAAATTCTTCTAATTTTGTTCAACGATCATATTTTTTCATTTAGTACTGGATTTCAGAAGCTACATAAATACTTACATGTTTCACAGAAGACAAAATAAGTAAAATTTTCCCGATCATCAAATTTAAAAAGTTTACACCCCCCGTCTCAATGCATTGTGTGGCTTTCTTGAGCATCAATTCGGTACATGTTTTTTACCTTTTGTAATAGTTATGCATGAGTCCCTCAATTGTCCTCAGTGTTAAAAGATGGATTTCAAAATCATACAGTCAATGCTGGAAAGGGTTCAAATATGCAGAAGATGCTGGAAAACCAAAGAATGTGTAGAAGCTGGAGGATTTTTCTGAAGAACCCCGCAGGCAGTTGAACTGCTCAGGACCAACAAGGGACTCATGAACAACTATCACAGAATATAAAAACAGTCGCGGATCATCCAGGAAATGACACATAAGTATTAAGATTCAAATGTAAACTTTTGAATCGGGTCATTTTTATAAATTCAGTTATTATATTGTCTTGTGAAGTATATGTAAGCATCTGTTATGTGAAATTGCGGATCATTTAAGTATTAAGATTCAAGGGTATGTAAACTTTTGAATCGGGTCATTTTTATAAATTCAGTTATTATATTGTCTTGTGAAGTATATGTAAGCATCTGTTATGTGAAATTGTTTATTCAGGTCAGTACTAAATAAAAAATAACATGCAATTTTAATGAGCCCTCTTATTTTGTTTCAGTTATTAACATTTTGAACATTCTGCAAGGGGTATGTAAACTTATGAGCACAACTATATATGCATATATACTATATATATATATATATAGATATACATACACGCACATACACACATACATTAGAATACAGAAAAAAATTAAAACTGAACAATTACTGGGGAAAAATATGTCTTTATAAAAGAAATGTTTATTTGTATAATGTATTTAGTGAATTGAACAGAAAAACATAATAAAGTATATTAAAAAGAGTGTATCACACAGCATTCTTTTCAAACTTTGTCATAGCTCACTAAATATTGCTGGACAGTAGCAGTTTGTTTCTAGCAGATGTGCTTACATCCAAAGTTGTATTACAATGGTTTCACTTTGCAGACATTTCCTGTTTTATCTTCCTTTTGTGTGTATGTATTGTGCTGTTGAGAGTATTTGAATCTTTGTTAGATTGCAGGACATTAAGAGTATAAAAGTGGGAGCAAAGAAGATGTTGACACAGGTAGTCCACTTCATTTATCAGACTCTGGTTGTGAGAGCTACACAGATGTTAAAGGAGATAGAGGTAAGTGCTCAATAGTCCTCATTTACTAAAGCATGTTGTACATGATTTTAATTTTTCAGTGGAAAGGTAAATTATGAATATTCGGCATACTTCACACAATTTCAGAATGTGTTTTCAATCTCCCATCATTACAGTACTTCAGTCTCTTTCATCATAGCCTGACAAAACTTCACTTTACAGTTTGACCAACAGAAAAATGCACACCTATTTATACTTTGCAGAATATGTAAGAATGACATGGTTACATGATTGGTTACACTCATCCAGGCAGATAATTTCCCATTGTTAGTAACTTTTAAAAAGTCTAGACTACTTCATAATTTAGTTATAGCATACATTTGTACCAAATCCTTGTTAGATGTAGTTTTGACCTTCCTATTTCAGGGCAAAATACATTTAAACATTTTGGATTTCTGTTTAGGAACCTCCAATCTGTAACCATTGATTTATTTTTGAGTGTTTGATTGTAAGGCCCTGTATGCGGAGGAGGTGGGGTGTTTGTTGGAGAGGAAGACATCTCTGAACAGGTTGGGAGGCTGTCAGGACTACATATCAGTTTTTATTGACAAGGTCCTACGCACAGAGGGCCACTGCCTCCTGGGCTACACAAAAAGAGTAAGCTGTTCTAATTTTTGTTTATTCCTTATGTACCATAAATGATCTAAACCTTGTTTTGTATTTTTGTACAAAATTTGTACATTTGTATTTAGTGTGGCTAATCAATAAAAAAAAATTAACTAATTAATTGCACATTTTTTTTCTGAAATTAATCACGATTACATTCAAGTTTTTAAATATACTTTTATATTGCAATAATTTCACATTTAATCTTCAAGTTAATGTAGAAACAACATAAAGACAGTATATTTTTAATATTTGTTTAGTGGCATCATTTTTTATGGCTGAAGGTGAGTATCACTGATACCAATACTACTGGTATCTCTAGGATATTGTTCTTTTTCCCCTAATATTTAACCATTGACTATAGCCATTCAACATTACAGTATAATTGAGAACTATCAATTTGAACATTTGACTTTAGAAAAATAACAGCTTCTAATTTAAGTGAACTGAAAACAATCTTAACATAAACCCATTATAATAAGTGTCGTATTTACCTGTGCCCTTCAGCAAGTATGAAATATACAGAAATTTTATGAAGTTATCAACACTAAATTCTAAATTATATATATAGATCAATGCTTAAAGCTACAAATGTTATTGATTTCCTCTTTTTTCTTTTGTTCTTTGATTAACAGACATCACAGCAGCTGGGTTATTAGGTTATTTGGCTGCTGTTACTTTAAGAGCTGCTTAGGGTTAGGGTTTCATTTTTACTGACATATGGCCTGACAACATCTCATCTGATCGCAGTTCCCTGTTGTTTTACTAAAGCTCCCTCATCACCTGTACCGTTTCCACGCTCGTTTGACTAGTGCCTGCCTGGCACTGAGGTGAAGTGGAGTTTGTGTTTGAAAGTCTCCTGTTTGATGTGGTTGTAAAGACGTTCTACGTCTAAATAAACACAATTCTTGTCAAGAAAACAAGAGACAGAAGCAGCATTTGTAAGTGGGTGGCCAACCCTAGCTCCGCCCCTGTATTAACTACATTAAATATTTTTAATGGCATTAAACTGGAAAAATTAATTGCCTGCATTAATGCACTAATAGACCTGCCAACCTGTACGTATTTTGTGTAGTGGCTACGCATTTTGACCTCAAGTATGCTGGTACGATTTGTCACACTAAACTACGCAAAAATCTGGTGATGCCTCTGTCCACGCGTGGTAAATGTAAATGTATTCAAATCAAGCAACAGAAGTGTACTGGAGTTTTAATTCAAGTGTACCGGAGTGTTTTAAGGGCATTTTAAATCGGAAAAAAAAAAAAAAATTTCATGTGATGTCACTGTATTACTTTATTTGTGACTAAAACTGGCTGTCATTCAGATTCTGAGTGTTTGTTTAGCCCTCAGCTATATTTTTTGTGTCTCTAACTCAGATTGAGACCCAAGTGAAAAAGCTTCTATCCCAGAAGGCATGCACCCCTGAGACCATGATTGAACTGCATATTCAGATTCAGAATGAACTCTGTCAGCACATCATGAAATGTGGTAAACAAAAACCTTCAGCTTTTTTTATTACAAAAATGTATTTACATTTTATTAAAAGAAATCTATAAATGTAACATTTCTTTATGCCCAGGATTTTTGAGGATTAGAAGGGTTCTTGTTCCATTCACCTCTCAGAGAACGTAGTGGCTACGCATTTTGACCTCAAGTATGCTGGTACGATTTGTCACACTAAACTACGCAAAAATCTGGTGATGCCTCTGTCCACGCGTGGTAAATGTAAATGTACTCAAATCAAGCAACAGAAGTGTACTGGAGTTTTAATTCAAGTGTACCGGAGTGTTTTAAGGGCATTTTAAATCGGAAAAAAATAATAATAATTCATGTGATGTCACTGTATTACTTTTATTTGTGACTAAAACTGGCTGTCATTCAGATTCTGAGTGTTTGTTTAGCCCTCAGCTATATTTTTTGTGTCTCTAACTCAGATTGAGACCCAAGTGAAAAAGCTTCTATCCCAGAAGGCATGCACCCCTGAGACCATGATTGAACTGCATATTCAGATTCAGAATGAACTCTGTCAGCACATCATGAAATGTGGTAAACAAAAACCTTCAGCTTTTTTTATTACAAAAATGTATTTACATTTTATTAAAAGAAATCTATAAATGTAACATTTCTTTATGCCCAGGATTTTTGAGGATTAGAAGGGTTCTTGTTCCATTCACCTCTCAGAGAACTGGTTCCACTCAGTTAGAGTCTGAGTCTGTGAAAAGCTCAAATCAAAATCCCTGTGCCTCCTCTCAGACTGTGCAAATGGACCAGGCCCTTCCTAGTCTGCCTCATCCATCTCAGCCCAGCCAGCCATCTCATTCTAACCAGGCCACAACCCGCTTTGCATGTAACAATGTTGCCTCATCTCAACCGAATCAATCTGAACCTTCCTCTTCAGATCATCAAAGTTCATTTTCTTCACCATCTGTCCAAGTCCAGTACCATGAAGTCATGTCTGAGCAAACCAAGCATGCTTACAGTCCCTCATTGAACTGTGTCCCATATTTTCCCCAGTCTGCTCCTAAAACTCACATGAATTCTTCTCCGTCTGTTTATTCTCAACCTCGTTTTCCACTCACAAACCTCACAGCATCTCAAATAAACAATATCTCTGAGTCAGCCAAATGTAGGAAGGCCTGTTGCCCTACCATGCAGGTCTCTCATACACGCGTACTCACCCACCCAATGCCAATTCCAGTCAACAACCAAACACCCGTAACAACTCATCCAGTGCCAGCCAACAACCAAACACCTGTAATAACTTATCCAATGCCAGTGAACAACCAAATACCCCTACTAACTCATCAAATACCAGTCAATAACCAAACACCCCTACTAACTCATCAAATGCCAGTCAATAAGCAAAGACAGCCAATTTCAGTCAACAACCAGACACCTATAACAATTCATCCAATACCAGCCAACAGCCAAACACTTGGACTAACTCATATATTGCCCGCCAACAGCCAGACACCCCTACTAACTCATCGAATGCCACTCAACAACCAAACACCTGTACCAACTCATACAATGCCCATCAATAACCAAACACTCGTACCAACTCATCCAATACCAGCCAACAACCAAACACTTGGACCGACTCATCCAATACCAGCGAACAACCAAACACCTGTACTAACTCATACAATGCCCATCAACAACCAAACACTTGTACCAACTCATCCAATACCAGCCAACAACCAAACACCTGTACTAACTCGTACAATGCCCATCATCTACCAAACACTCGTACCAACTCATCCAATACCAGCCAACAACCAAACACCTGTACTAACTCATATAATGCCCATCAACAACCAAACACTCATACCAACTCAACCAATAACAGCCAACAACCAAACACCTGTACTAACTCATATAATGCCCATCAACAACCAAACACTCGTACCAACTCATCCAATACCAGCCAACAACCAAACACTCGCAGCAACTCATCCAATACCAGCCAACAACCAAACACCTGTACTAACTCATACAATGCCCATCAACAATCAAACACTCGTACCAACTCATCCAATGCCAGCCAACAACCAAACACCCCTACTAACTCATCAAATGCCAGTCAATAACCAAAAACAACCAATTTCAGTCAACAACCAAACACCCGTAACAACTCATCAAATACCAGCCAACAACCAACCACCTGAACTAATTGAATCAATACCAGCCAACAACCAAATACCTGTATTAATTCAACCAATTCCAGTCAACAACCAAACACCCATACTAACCCCTCCAATACCAGCCAACAACCAAACACCCGTATTAATCCAACCAATACCAGCCAACAACCAATCAACCTTACTTACTCATTCTATACCAACGTACAACCACGCACTCATGCTGACCCATCCAGTACAAACCAATTTCCTGGTGCCCGGACTTTCTTTCTCTGTGCAACCCACTATTCCCTTAACTGTCCTTTCAACAATAAACACACTTTCTTTAAATTATGCTACTGCAATCTCTAATGTCCTTCCTGTAAACCCAATGCCTTCTACTCCCATTGATGGCAACAACACCCTTCGGTGTAAGAGAGGCACCTACAATAGCCAGAACCTCCCAGTCAAGGCCTTGACTGATTCCGCCTGTGATCAGGATGCAGGTGTGAGCAGCACGGATTTTACTGATACAGACCATCTGGAGAGCAACTTGCCCACCTCCCTTGTGTTGGGAGCAGCTCCCAAAGAACCTTCACTAGATCCTGGCCGCTCCTCTGGACCATCCAACATTCACCAGGACTCTCTCTCCACCACCACCACCACAGAGAAATGTTCAAGTCAAGCTCAAGACTGTCAGTCATCCAACAAGAACAACTCTGGACCAAAACACTGGAGCATTGGCATGCCGATAACTTTCCGTCAGCTTGTAGAGGCAACATGCATACCTTTCAGGTCAGACAATCTGAACACAACACCTCCAGTGGATTCAACTCCTTGTAGCACATCAGAAGACCTTGATGGGGAGGTTGGTGAATGTTTGGTTTGATTCTTACAGATAGAGGTATGTCAGAGATCTGTGTTTCATTCAAAAGCTTTCTTTTCCTACCAGAGGACGACTCATGACAAGACTGTCCAAAGTAATTTTGACTACAGGAAGGCAAAAAAAGAAGACAAAGAATCTGCAGGTTATTTTCTTCTCAAAAGAGTTCTCAAAAGAATAGTGTTTGTTTTCCTCACTCATTTCTTTTTTTCCTGTCTTTTAGTCACCCTGGAACACTTCAGGAGACAAATCAAACAATGCAAGAGGTGGTCTCAAGATATATTCTTATTTAGTGTTGGTTCATAGTGATCTTTGCTTCATAGTGGAATCTATAGTGCTAATTTGAATCCTTCCTGCATCGAAATAATTATTAACCTTATTTATGTCTCAATTAATGTTTGTGATAACTATTAATAATATTATTAATAGTGTTAATAGTATTTACAGTACCGTCCCAAATTTTTGGAAAGAAGTCGCTTTGCTCACCAAGGCTGTATTTATTTAATCAAAAATAAAGTGAAAACCATTGATATATTACAATGTATAATTACCATTTTATTCTTTTGTACACTGAACAAAATTATAAACGCAACACTTTTGTTTCTGCCCCCATTTTTCATGAGCTGAACTCAAAGATCTAAGACTTTTTCTATGTACACAAAAGGCCTATTTCTCTCAAATTCTGTCTAAATCTGTGTTAGTGAGCACTTCTCCTTTGCCGAGATAATCCATCCACCTCACAGGTGTGGCATATCAAGATGCTGATTAGACAGCATGATTATTGCACAGGTGTGCCTTAGGCTGGCCACAATAAAAGGCCACTCTAAAATGTGCAGTTTTATCACACAGCACAATGCCACAGATGTCGCAAGTTTTGAGGGAGCGTGCAATTGGCATGCTGACTGCAGGAATGTCCACCAGAGCTGTTGCCCGTGAATTGAATGTTAATTTCTCTACCATAAGCCATCTCCAAAGGCGTTTCAGATAATTTGGCAGTACATCCAACCAGCCTCACAACCACAGATCACGTGTAACCACACCGGCACAGGACCTCCACATCCAGCATCTTCACCTCCAATATCGTCTGAGACCAGCCACCCAGACAGCTGCTGCAACAATCGGTTTGCATAACCAAATAATTTCTGCACAAACTGTCAGAAACCATCTCAGGGAAGCTCATCTGCATGTTCGTCGTCCTCATCGGGGTCTCGACCTGACTGCAGTTCGTCGTCGTAACCGACTTGAGTGGGCAAATGCTCACATTCGATGGGGTCTGGCACTTTGGAGAGGTGTTCTCTTCACGGATGAATCCCGGTTTTCACTGTACAGGGCAGATGGCAGACAGCGTGTATGGCGTCGTGTGGATGAGGGGTTTGCTGATGTCAGCATTGTGGATCAAGTGGCCCATGGTGGCGGTGGGGTTATGGTATGGGCAGGCGTATGTTATGGACAACAAACACAGGTGCATTTTATTGATGGTTGTTACGTCCTCAACATAACATAGAGGTGGAGGCAAGCACAGGCTCGTTTTAACAGGGGATATTTATTATTGAGTTAATTTAACAATTCTAATTATAAGATCTAAGTCTAGATCAGGGACATGGACAAATAATATCCATGCATAAAAAGCGTTTCTACCTTTTATTTATTTATATATATATATATAAACGTAGGCCTATACATTCATGTAACAAAAACGTTTAAGCTGTCAGTTTAAATAAAAGTCAGTCTCTGGAATATAATGTCCTACTTTGCAGAAAACATACACAAAACAAGTGTATCCTTACGATTTTGTTATAAAAACGTTTTCAAATCTTTTGTTTTGCACGAATGCAAACCGCAAACAAAACGGTATGAGTTGATTGTGGTCGAAAGAGGGAAAAAAACGTTTGCTGTTGACGCAAATAACACGGGGCTACTTGATAGGAGCAGTTTTGGGCGGTTTGCTTATGCGAATGGGCGCACTGTTCTCTGATTGGTTTGAAGTCGACTTAACTTCTATAAGCCCCACCCCCTGTTTTTATATATAATTGCAGTAGAATGTGAAGCTTACACTAAACACTCAAGACATTCACAGGGTTCACTAGGTGAAATGGTTGTTCTGGTCAAACCAAGTCCTTATATATATATATATATATATATTGTAATTTCCATAAGAATGTTTCCTGGCTAGTTTCTTTGAGGTTGGTGGTAGTATAAATATTACTCAAGTAAAGGCACGTTCACACCAAGGTTGATAATTGTAACTATAAACCACAGTTATAGTGATAGTGACACATAGAAACAATTCAGAACATTTTTTTTTCCTGCCGATGAAATATAAAACTATTGACATCCAATCAGAATTAACATGACGTAAGCTTGAGCTTTTGTTGTCCTTTGGTGTGTACGACAACATAGTTACTGTTAAAGTTATCGTTATAATTCTTTCTTGGTGTGAACCGCCTTAAGAACTAAAGAGATATCATTGACATATTATTGACCTGTATATACTTGAATCTTTCACTTTTGTATATAAACATGATGTCATTTAGTTGAAGACCTTTTTTTAGATGTTTTTAATGCTTGTATCTAAACGAGGGATTTCAATAAAGTGAAAATAATGTAAAAGATGCCTTGATTATTTTGAACTATGCTGTATATTTACTGTATTTTATTAAACATTTAGATTGCATTTGACTGTTTTTAAAAACGTCTTAATGACCCCAAAATTTTGAACCATAGTATAGTATTTGAATCTCTTATGGTTACCTAATTATTTAATCAAAAATACAGTAAAAACTAATATAGTGAAATATTACAATTTAACAATTTTTACACAATTCATTCTATGCTCAAACAGCACTCAAAACAACAATCAGATTTTATAAAATGTTTTATTACATTTAAAGTCAATATTACATTTGTTAAAGGAAAAAGCATTACAAGATAAAGGCTGTTAGGATTTTAGCTATAAATGTCCACCAAGTCATTTAACACCAGTTAGTGACAGCACATGCCTGTCTATGTATAACACACTTCACTTTATGTTTTCCACTCGGTAATTACACATCCTTGATCTTGAAACATAAAACGCCCCATGAATAATCAAAGTAACATTAACAGTATCTTATCCTCTCCTCTCGATTGAACATCTGTGACCTCATCTTAATGACCCCAAAATTTTGAACCATAGTATAGTATTTGAATCTCTTATGGTTACCTAATTATTTAATCAAAAATACAGTAAAAACTAATATAGTGAAATATTACAATTTTTACACAATTCATTCTATGCTCAAACAGCACTCAAAACAACAATCAGATTTTATAAAATGTTTTATTACATTTAAAGTCAATATTACATTTGTTAAAGGAAAAAGCATTACAAGATAAAGGCTGTTAGGATTTTAGCTATAAATGTCCACCAAGTCATTTAACACCAGTTAGTGACAGCACATGCCTGTCTATGTATAACACACTTCACTTTATGTTTTCCACTCGGTAATTACACATCCTTGATCTTGAAACATAAAACGCCCCATGAATAATCAAAGTAACATTAACAGTATCTTATCCTCTCCTCTCGATTGAACATCTGTGACCTCAGACTGCATGTCAAACCAATTCTATCAGTCATTGACAGTCTATAGATTAAAAACTGCTTATAATGTATAAGAACTAAGAAAGCTGAGGAATAGAAATAGTTTTATTTGGTTTAAACAAAATGCGTTACATGCTAACAATAATAACATATAGAATAAATGGTGCTCTTGTCATTTCTGCTCACTTGTTGAGTTGTTTCTTTGTCCTAACATCTAGAAACAGGCATTCAAAGCAAAAAAAACACTACCTACCCAAACGGCACTTTGATTTCATTTTAAGTACAGTGCTTTATTTTAGCTTTTAAACCATCTGCACATACTGAATGCTAGGCTAATGATGTTATTTAATAATTAGTCACTGCACTGTCTCTACCAACCAGATTTGTTTTTGTAGGTTTACCAGAGAAGCCACTGTATGGATTGTGGTTTGAAGGTATGTTTGCTGTACTATCCATAACAGCCTGTGAGCTGCAGCGATGTGTGTTTGAATGCTCTGATTACATTCAAATCTTATGTTTGAGAAGAGTGGAGCTTAATGTTCTGTGGTTTCCACCACAGGTATGACCTGATCTTCAGATGAAGGGCCAGAGCTCAGAAACTCGAACGCCCGTTGGCTCTGTGTAACTAACTGCATAATGGGAGCCAGCAGGACCTCGGTGGCTGAGGAATGGCGGCGGATCATATCGGTGGTGGGCACAGCCAGTGTGTCATGTTCTGGAGGGCCTGAGGGCTGGGAATCTAGCTTCAAACTGCCTTTGCGGCCATTTGCTGGTACTGGGGTGGGAGTTGGGGAGAGAGCTGGGCTTGATGGAAGCCCGCTGGCAGACCCGCGACGGGAGCGGGCGTAAAGGCTTCTGCGGCGACGTGGGCGACCGTCCATGGCCTTGAGGGAGAGGCTGTTTGCAGAGGCACGGCTGGAGGGACTCTCAGGAAGTTCCTCTGGAACTGCATTGTTTGCTGCATCGAGATCAGAAACCTGTTTTACCTGAGAGATAAGAGAGGAACAGTTATAACCCAAGTCTCTGGTACTTGATTATTTTGAAATTTTTATGCAGCAATTTAACTTAAACCAGACTCATTGGGAAAACGTGGCTGTTCCAACATTTCACGAAAATGTATATTATCTCTTGCATATTTCACAACACTTTCAAAGGGAAAAGTCCAGAGAGTGGCGTTTTCTAAATCCAAATTTTCGAAACTTTGAATCTTTTTTTAATCATTTATTTCAAACCAGTGATTCAGAGCATGTATTAAACCTGCCAAAGTCATGTGATTTCAGTGAACAAGGCTTTGGTACATTATAACTGTTTCATAATGTTTAGAAATTTCATATTCAGTCTCTATGAACATATATGGAACCTATATGGATTTCCCCTGATCTTGGATCAGTTTGATACATTTGTAAACATTTTCAAGAGTTGTTGTTAGTCTCTTATTTTAATTACAGATTTGCAGCTGGTTTGTAAAAGGTGTTTCTATGCATGTTTAAATCGAGCTTTCGTTGCATTTACACCATACTGACGGGCATTGAGTGCTTCAAAACAGTGAGTCATTCTGTGAAGCAACTGGTTTAACTGATTCAAAGCTTCGAAAATCTTTGCTTCTCACTAGTAACACCTACCCTAAATTATTTTAAACCGTTCAAGCACAAGAAGACACGAAAGAGAACTCAATTCAGTACCTGTGCTGAGGTCTCTTTTGCGACAGACAAACAAACACAAA